TATTTTATTTTATATCATAGAATTTAGTTATAATCCACTTTAAGATGATTAGGCACAGAGATCATAAGTCTAAAACCCTTCCAAAATAGGTAATTGAGTGGAGGACTATATCAGTTCAGATTGTATATTTACTTACTTAGTGGTTCTGTGTTAGCATTATCAGTTCAAAAAAAAAAAAACAGTCAAAACTAAGCCTTATGTTAATGGCTTTATGTGCCATAGCTACAGAAATTTTAAGTCTGGTTTTGGCATTGCCTTGGCCAGCAAAATATATTTAGAGCTACTTTGCCACTTTTATGTATTTATTTTAAAGAATTTCTATTTAAAAAAACATATTTTATTTGTGCATATAGAACTGGGGTACAGGTTAGAGGTGCAGAAGCGGTGAGAGGATTCATGAGAGAAAAGAGTGGGGAGCTGAACAGGCAGATCGATGAAGTAAACTGCTGAGGGGAGCAGTGGGTGAGACAGGAGAGGTCTGCTGCTGTGGATCACCTCCAGGGTGGAAGATGAACTCTCACGGAAGTGGCCATGGCCAGCTTCGCAGTGCAGGGCTCCAACCCACTGCACCACCAGGGAGGTCCTACTTTGCCACTTATAATCTTTGACTTCTATGGTTGCAAACAGTTACGATTTTAGAGGAGATTTTTTTTTCTTTCTATATAGATTTCATTGCAGCTGCAATTATTGTGTTGTCTTGGGCTACCTAGGGAACTTAGATCCTCTTGAAATAACTGTGACTAAGTATGAGGACTCAGAACTCTGAAACCTGACTTCTGAGTTCATATTTCAGCACTTCAGTTTATTAGCTGTGTGATCCTTGGGCGAGTAACTAAACTTCTGTGCTCCATTTTCTCACCTGTGTGTTGTAGTTGGTTGGTAATAGTAAATGCCTGATAGAATTGTTGAATTAATTTACTATTCATTCATATTTAAGATTTCTCTAGGACATTGGCAGTTGTTGACAAATGTTGGCTATGATGAAGGTGATCATAGAATACTAAATAACTTCAGTTGCATGGATCCAATCATTATTTTCCTTTAACTGGAAAGGGGGAACTTTAACTGAAATTCTTCCTGAGATTATATAAGAGACAAAGATGAAGATAAAATTTCATTAAGATTCTGAAGGTTTGGATATGTCAACATTGGTTGTAAGGCCCTTCCTGATGGGGAGTAGTCTGGTGTTGTCCCGGGAATAATAAGTACAATAAATTTTCACTAATTGTCATTAATAGATTCTTGGAAACAATGACTTTAAGTGAATTGACACTTAGTGAAACCAGGTCCTGGGATAATAGCCTTTTGATCAGTCTTGGCTGGGATTTCTTTTTTCTCATCATTGTCAAAAAGAAATAATACTTAAAGACCTGCTATAATTCAATTTAACTACCATGTAAGGTGCTCCATGGGGAGAAGTGGGGTATTTGGGTAGAAATGGAGATTTGGGTTTATACGGTAGACCCCTACCATGAGATGGCAGGCCCAGGAGTTTGGGTTAAGAGCGTTTGAGTACTGAGATCCCTTTGGTATAAGGTGGAGAGAGGGGAGGATTAGACAGAATGGGGTCAAGGCAAGGAGTTAGAAGGCTGTTGAGTTAGAAATAGAGAGGAAGTGGTGTGGCACTGAAGACACTGGAATTAATAACGGGGATAGCTCTCATGCATAGGGACTCTCTTTAACAGAAATGGGAAACTCTGGAGTAGAGGTAGGTTTGGAATAGAGGGAGATGATTTCAGTTTCATGAGCATGAGTTTGAGGTGCAAATAGGACAACCCAAGAGAACTGCCCCTTTAATAGAAATAAATTCAGAATTAGAACTTGGGCAAAGAGTTTAGTATTAGAGGTAAAATGCTAAATCATTTCCAAATGTGTGATAGTAGTAAGGATTTCAGAATAGGATCTCCGAGATGGCATAGGGGTTAAGTCTCAGAGCTAGCACCACTAAAGTCAGAGTTCAATTCCTGGCCAGGGCGCTAATCCCATTGGGTGCAACAGACCCCTCCTGGCTGCTGCTCCCCTCAGCAGTGTATTTCAGTAAATCTGCCTGTTCTGCTTCCCACTCTGTCACTGCTGAGCCCTCTTACAACTCCTTCCCTGCACCTCTGGCCTGCACCCTAGTTCTATGCAAAAAAAAAAAAGTGAGATTTCATAAGAGACCCACATTTTTGGATAGAGACAGCTAAGGCAAGAAGCAATTAACATGGTATTACAAATTTTTGGAGTGTATGGATTCAGTTCAGTTACTATGTAAATTAAAGCCTACCCTTGCATTTCCTACAATGCTTTCCAGTTTTTAAACATGTTCATGAGCTTTTCCCATCATACATTGATGGGCAAGAACTCAGGGTTCCTTTAATAGTATACAGAATATTAGGTTCAAATTATGGAATTTAAAAATTACAGTATAAAATACATCAATTTTTTTTTGTCACAAAGGTAGGAAGCAGAAACTCTGAAGACATAACTTTAAATTTAAAAAATTTCATAACCCTTCATTCTCTATGTGGTTTTCAGTAGGGATAAAAATACTCAGTGGGTGTGTGGGTGGTTTCTTATGTTTTGGAAATGGTGAGAATATGAGATGCTGAGCATTGGATTCTGGGATGAGGGCTATAATTACTAACTGATTCTTCCCCAGGGTTGGCTCTTGGGTGGATGTCTGAATCTAAAACCCCAACAATCCAGAATCCCGAGCAATAATCACTTGCCCCCTCCCTCTAGGAATTAAAAGAATTATTGTGGTAGAGAGGAGAGGGGCTGCAGGATGAGGGTTCTTCTTGCTCTGTCTCCTTTCGTGCAACAGAAAAGGAAGCTGGCATGATGGCTTTGCCTTGCCCGATACACAACAGCCACTGCACAGCTGTGATGGAAAGAGTTCTAAATATAACCCAGACTCATTTCAAATCCTCCTCTTGGCGGATGTGGTAAACACCCTAAAAATACCTGCTCTCTGAACCTTTGAGGTATCCAAATGGCTCTTTGGGGCAGGTATTGGAATGAGGGCTGTGAGGCGGTGGTGGGAGGCTGGGCAGCCACCCGGACCGGTGCCCACTGGGGCTGATCCCAAAGCTGTTTCTTGAGCTGTCTGCCATGCCATCCTGTTCAAGGATAAGTGCCTACTCTTGAGTCTCATCTTCACTGTTGGCAGGTTTGAAGGAAGCTATTCATAGACAAGGCATCTGTTCTCTGTCCCATTGATCCCAAACCTGCAGCTGCCGCCATAGTATTCAGTTAGTGTAGCGGTTTTTAGTCTTAGTTCACAGAATCAGATTTTCGAGCTGGCAGGGACCTGAGACACGTTGTATTGTTCACGAAACACTCCATTAAAGTCACTACATTTATTGATTTTTAAAAAAGATTTCTTTATGCATACAGAACTGGGGTACAGGCCAGAGATACATGGGTGGTAAGAGGCTTCACCAGAGACAGTGTGGGGTGCAGAACAGGCAGGTAGATGAAATACGCTGCTGAGGGGAGCAGTGGGCAGGTCAGGAGAGGTCTGCCACGCCATGTGGGTCCCTCTAGGGGTGGGGATCGAACTCATGCTGAAGTGGCTTTAGCTTCTCAGTTCTGTGCTTTAACCCTATGCGCCACCAGGGAGGGTTACATTTAGTGATTTTAATGCCTATATAGGACATCCCTCTGCCTGTAGACTGACATAGCAATTTGGAAATAGTCTTAGTCTCTGATTATTAAAGGAAATCACTCATCATTATGTAACACAAGTAGGAGGAGAGTGAAAACCAGCCTTAATGGTCTTAAGTGATCCTGTGTAAAACTCTTTAATTTTTAAAATTAAATGGCAACTTTGAGGCTCATTTTCTCACCCAAAGTTAAGTATGTTGAATAGAAAGTTTATTGGCAGGACAGCCAGACCACCAGGACTCTTGTCAAGACTTCAAGGAGGCCTTCAATATCTAGTTTCTGGAACCCCAAAAAATAACAATGGTTGTAACTGAAGGACCGTAGATCTTTGTTCTGGGAAAGAGTTTTCACAGATTAGCCCCAGCATGGTGATAGGCATTTAAAGTCATGGAGGCAGTCAGAGCGAGCCACCTTATAAAACAACATAAATCATCCACGTTTTAAAGTGTGTGATAACCACCTTATCCCATTCCCTCAATAAACTATAAGAAGGCCCAATGTGTATAGCTAAGGGCTCTCTGGGGAGAGAACAAGGAAGTCCGAAGAAGCTTGTCCAGCTAATAGTTGTTTTGTTTTCCTAAATATTTATTTATGCATACAAAAACTGGGGTACAGGCCAGAGGTGCAGAGGCGGTGAGAGGATTCACCAGAAACAGAGTGGGGAACAGAACAGGCAAGTTGACTGAAATACACTGCTGAGGGCAGCAGCGGTTGGGTCAGGAGAGGTCTGCCATGCTATGTGGGTCACCTCCTGGCCAGGGATTGAACTCCTGCTGGCAGTTATCGGTCATAGCTGTATAGTGCTTCCCTTTAACATGTAGCACCACCAAAGAGGGCCTCCAGCTAATAGTTTTAAATATGTTGCATTGTGGTGAATTTAGAATTTTCTTGATTATAACAAATTTGTGTCCTCTGCTATGAGCTTCTTAAAGCTCCTTCATAAATCTGGAAATATTATGTATTTTTTAAAAGTTAATCAAAGAGTTAAAAGTTAATCAAAGATTTCTCTTGAGTGTTGGAAGCTTTCAAAATGGTTGGAGTGGTTTATATCACTTAATGCATATTTGAAATTGCCATCTATGAGACCACAAATTTCCCTGGGCCAAATTTCCCTGCTTGTAACTGGAATACAAGGGGGAGGCAGTCAACTTTGGGAAGGTATGATTTGTGGAAAGAACTTGGTTTTGGAGTCATTTGTACCTTCAGCTGCATAGAAATTAAAGAGGGTAAGGTACAGGACAAATCTTTTTCCATTCCTGTCAAAAAGAGGAAAGTAGAAGGTAATGTCTGTAATATGTAATACTGAGTTGACATAGTTTGTGTGCTCAAATATTTCCTCTCTGAAATTGCAGAATGAAGAGCTTCGGAACTTGTCACTTTCTGGCCATGTTGGATTTGACAGTCTCCCTGACCAGCTGGTCAACAAGTCTACTTCTCAAGGTTTCTGTTTCAACATCCTGTGTGTTGGTAAGTGACAGCATCTTCTAACGAGCCAGGGGTCTGGTCCGTAGTGTTGGCGTGACTATGGAAGATGCATATTTTAGGGTAATAAGCATAGTGGTATTTTTATTCTTTTTCATCAGTCAAGCAGAACAATAATATCCACTATGTATATGTCATAAAATTGGGAATTGTATTTGGGTAATGCCTTGTAAGCTTTGGAGTGTTCTCAAATTGTTATTTTGATTGATGTCTTAGAGTTAAGTGAAGGCTTAGTTTAATGTTATTATTAAAACACTTTTTAGTTGGGTGGAAGGACTCAGATCCTAACGAGATTATAGGAAGTTGAAAGAAAGATCTGAGGAAGTGTGTGTGTGTGTGTGTGTGTGTGTGTGTGTGTGTGTGTGTGGTATGATTGCTTAAACATCTTAAGTGTTTGTTTTTAAGGTCTCTGTCTACAGTGCAATAGTAATCTCTATTGAAATCATATTAAAGATTGCTACCTATAATAAGTGAAATATGAAACAACTAATGTTTAAAGTTTGCTTTCAGAGCGAAAGACAATATTTTCCAGTTAAAATACATTTCTGCTTGAATTATTAGGTTAACTTTTGTCCTTAAAAATGACCTTAGTTTATTCCTGGTAGCTAAATCAAAAGGATTCTTATGTATTTGCATTCTCAGTATATTTTACTCATGTCCTTTCAGTATTAATACATTAGTCTAGACCTCTGGCCTTGGTATTTTTTTCCTTCTCCTAGTTATGTTGTTTTTAGACTAAGTGGAGGAAGGTAGGAAGGAGGTGGAAAACAGAGATGTAAATCTACTGGTTTGAAGCAGAAAAAAAAAAAGATGATTTTTCCTTCGCCGTCCTGTCTCTCCTGATGAATGTCTGGGCTAGAAGCAGTGACGTGGTTGGGTGCACTGTTCTGTTGTCCTTGTTCTCCTGCATGTCCTTCTGAGACAGAGCAAAAGGAATAAAGTATTTCTGTTTGTAGACAAGTGGACCATCCTTCCTTTAAGTTTGGAGAATGTACCACTCAACTTTTTTACCCAAGCGAAATGAAGTCAGTGTAGAGAAGGTCTGCATTTCTAAGGGCCACTTTTTTTAGTTAGTTACTGGGCAGGAGGGTGGCAATTTTCCTTTTCAAAAGAACCGTGGAGGAAAATCTTACTGTCCTCACTGCACTGGATGCCTGTCAGTGGGAACCACAGCTGTCCTGAGCACTACAATGGCTCCCTCTCTGTCCTAAGCACTGAATAGAGTCCAGGGCAGCCAGCTCTCAAGCTTTTCCCTTTCCCTCCATGAGATCTTTTAAAATTCAGCAGGAGACCTCCTGAATGGCAGTGAGGTCTATAGAGTGGCATAAATGAGTTGTCTTTTCTCTTATGCTTACTGCAGAAAGGGGCAATTCTTCATTAGCATAGCAATTTGTTGATTTTTCTATTGAAAAGTATGCTAAATTGTAGGCCAATTACTAGTCTGGCTTCTATTCCTGCCTTCCCCACCCTTGTCTCTAAAATCAGCTGCAAGAAAACACATGAGAATTGTGTCTGCAAGTAGAGTGAAGGCTTCCAGTGGGGCTGGGCTTCTGGGAGGGCCTGGTTTGATAGGTGTGTGTCGTCTGGGAGGCTCTCTGGCTCACTCCTCAGTTCAGAAGCAAGTGGTGCTGTTAGTTGGCGTTTGCCAATCACCCCAGGCTGCCCTTTTGGGTTCATAAAGTAGCTGCAATTATCATTATCTGGGTGGTGATAATTAATGGCTGGTTCTTAGCTTCTTATTCTGGTTCCCTTAACCTGTTGAAAACTAGCTTTTCAAACCCATTTTAACAATGCATGTTTGTTGTTAAATAAAAAATACTGTAACTGCATCTTCTTCCTTCCCCATTCCCATTCCAGAGAGATAATACTGTTGAATTGTAGAAAACTTCTACATCTTATTGTACTCGGATATTAATTTTTGTGGCTTAGAACAACACTAATTATCGTACAGTTCGGTAGAAGTCCCACGTTCCACTGAGCTAAAAAAAAAAAAAAATCAGGGTAGTTATAGGGCTGTATTCCTTTCTGGAACTTATCTTTCCTATCTTCTAAGGCTGCCTGTATGCCTTGATCCTGGGACCACTTTTCTTGCATCTTCAAGCCTGTATCCTCATGACTCTCTCTCCCTCTCTCTTTCCATTCTTGTAGTGAAAAATTTCTAATAGAATTGCAGGCTTTTTAGTTTAAATTCAGTGAAGACTTCCTCAGACCCAAAACATGTCAAAAAGTTAACATTGTGGGCCCTCCCTGGTGGCTCAATGGGTTAAAGAGCAGCACTGTGAAGTTATTGGGTGCCACTGCAGTACGAGTTCCACCCCCAGCCAGGAAGGTGACCCACGTGGCGCAGCAGACCTCTCCTGTCTTGCCCGCTGTTCCCCTCAGCATTGCATTTCAGTCAATCTGCCTGTTCTGCTCCATCCTCTGTCTCTGGTGAATCCTCTCACTCCCGCATCTCTAATCTGTACCCTACTTCTTGTATGCATAAATAAACAAATCTTTAAAAAAAAGTTGATATATTTAATTGTATAATCAAGCACAGCTGGTGCTAGGAGTGAACCATTTTCAGGACTGTCTCTGACTCTTGAGCCTGCCTGCTTCTGCATGGCCTCATGCTCTGGCCTTCTCTTCAGGGAGGAAGTGTGACCTCCAGCAGTGTTGCCCACTTAGCAACCCCTGAGCAAAGAACGACCACTGGTGTCAATTCTCACAGAATGGTCACAGGATGTCTCTGACAGGCCAGGCCTGTCATGCAGGGTAGGCGGTGAACTCGTCTATTAAAAGTCATGAGAGACTCCCTATGGGGAGGGAGACATTTTCAGAAAGGAAGTGGGGCATGAGGAGACAGACACACACCAGACAGATACAGACAGCTCCCTCACAGTTACATAAGTACAGTTTTGTTTTTCTACAATTGAGCTGATAATGTTCATATTCTTTTGATGTTTCCCTTTTTCATTCTCAGCACCTGCTGGCTATCTTTCCATGCCAGTATATGAAGTTTTCCAGGTTCTTTTCATACCTGTTTGGAGTCAGCATTATTAGCTCTTAGGAGAATAAGGGTCTCAGCCTTAAATATTAAGCATATTTATCCTCAATTCCCTTATCACAAATATTTTACAGCCAGATTTCTATATCTCACTGTCAGGTATTGGGCCATCTATTTTTAAAATAAGAGTCTATGAAAAAGTGTTCTAACCAGTCTAAATATTTTGACAGTTACTTAGAGGAGTAGAGGACATATTTTACTTAAGAGTATTCAAGGTGCTCTTCCTGTCATTTTCATGTCCACAGGTATGTTTTTTATACAAGATGTAGGCATCATGGTCTTTTTAGCATCATTATTAAATTTTCAAGTGATAAATACAGAAAGGAATTGGGGGTTTGATAAAAGAGTTATTGCCCTAATTATAGAAACTGATGATATTTATCAGGAAGGTCTTAGAATCATAATTTGGTCTGGTGGCATGAGCCTCTTAGTTGCAAGTAGAGGAAATAAACCAGGGCAGAAACTAATCCTGGCATGAGCTTGGTCTAGTTTTAGAGGCACTGAATTGGTCTGCTATTAGAACTCAGCTCTTTGAGTACTAGGAAAAAACATAATAGAGAGGGAAAATAGCATTCACTTAACCTGAAAAAGGATTCTTGATGCTAAATTGAGCTTATATGACATGGGAAAGTGCATAGTTGCCTCACTCTCCATCTTGATTGCAACATATCACATCATCCCCAAAGCTGCTGTTAGTGTAAATAAAAGCTTTCTGTCCATGCTGTATTTCTCCAAAGAATCTGACTTAGTGTTCAGTCTTTCTTCACAATTTTAATGTATATGTTTTTCTCATTCATTTTCCAAAATGACACTAGCTCCATGAGAAACTTTAACATTGACCCAGCTGTATTTTTTAGTTCTTTGTACATATACAAAGATACATAAAGCACAGTGATATATTTGCTTTTGCAGAGGGAAAGTTCAATAGTAGGATAAAATTATAGAAAAATATATTTTGATGAGCAAAAATTAAAAAATAATTCGCCCATAACAATTTTTACGGGGGTAAAAGAAGAGAAATAGGAAACAGACAAGTTTAAGATTACTTTTTGCCAAGGCTGAAATAAGTTGTGGAAGTTTATAATCCAGTCTTAAACAATTTTGTTTTTCTGGGAAAGGTCATTAAAATAGTTTGTAGGATGAAATGAATGAGTAAACAAAGACAAAATTAACCTCAGAAAACACAGCAAAACCAAAGAGCCATGAATTCCACCAGGGATAGGTTTGTCTCTCAGCTAGTGTTGAGAGCCCAAAAGAATCCATCTATTCAATAGATATTTATTGAACACATATTATGTGCCAAACAAAAAAATTAAAGTTTAGCAAGGACAAATTTAAAGTTTCTGTAGAGTTAAAGCAAAATACTTACTCCAGATGAGTTTCACCTGAAAAATTTTCTCCCGTGGATTTTCAGAAAAGAGATATATCAGATAACACCATGACCCTGCACCCAGTCAGTGCAGTCGATCCAGGCTGCGCCAATGTCCAGTGCTGGCCTTCCAAGTCCATCATGGAGGCTGGGTAGTATTCTGCAAAACATCTTTCATCAAAAACAATTCTTTGGGGCCCTCCTTGGTGGTGCACTGGGTTAAACTGCAGCACAGCAAGCTAGCTGTAGCCGCTTCAGTACAGGTTTGATTTCTGGCCAGGGAGATGACCCATATGGAGTAGCAGACCTCTCCTGACCCACCAGCTGCTCCCCTCAGCAGTGTACTTCATCAGTCGGCCTGGTCTGCACCCTGCTCTGTCTATGGTCAGTCCTGCTCCTGCACCTCTGGCCTGTATCCCAGTCTGTATGCACAAATAAATAAATCTTAAAAAAAAAGAAAAGAACTGGTGTTTTAAATAAGCCTGAGACTCAAAAAGAAGAGGTGGAACTGCTTTCCTTCCACTGGGTGTGGGTTCATGTTCACTGGCATTGGCAGGAGCAGGGAAATAGAAGCCACCAATATACTTAAGAGTAAATCTCTGCTTATCCTGACAACTGAGTGTTGAGGCAAATAACTTTGTAGTGTAATAAACAGCAAATTCTGAAAAATCTACCCAAGTGGCAAATTTCAGGATAAACGTTCGCTGTGATCATTTTTCTTTTCATTGAACCTTTAATAAATGTCTGCATTGTTCCAGGTAATTTGTTGGGGAAGTTTTGAAATATTTCAAAGATGATGTTCGTAATTAATTTTCTCAAAATATTGTCATGTGGGCCCTCCCTGGTGGTGCAGCAGGTTAAAGCACTGCACTGAGAAGCTAAAGCCACTCCTCCATGAGTTCGATCCCCGCCTGCCCCGGAGG